TGCTCCAGGGAGCAGGTAAAGAGACACGGGTGGGAGGGTGGAGAGCGTGAGCACACAGAGTGCGAAGAAGAGCAGAAAGGAGGAGACGGGGCTGCAACGTGGAAAGGAGCTCTTGGAGGAGGAGGAGGGAGCGGAAGCATCCCCAGTGAGCAGTTGTAGCTCCAGGCCAGAGCAGCACAGACCTCTGCAGCCGGTAAAGATGAAGCAGCTGGTGGGGCCCCTTGGGGGTGGTGTCCAGGCAGGTTCTCTGTGGCCCCCCACCACTGGAGTCCCTCCTCAAGGCCTTTCCTCCCCTGGCTGGTGGGGCTGGGGAGGCAAAAGCAGGTGTCGACGTAGGTGGTGGCCCTAACCCTCCCCAGAGGAGGATCTGGGGCCTGGGGTGAAGATGTTGAGCCTGAGCTGGGTGGGAACCAACACTTGTTGGAGCATCTTCCAGCTCTCTGGGTAAAATAAGATGGAAAGAGCAAGAAATTATAGAGTGAGGGACCCCAGAGTTTCCCCTAGGGATACCAGGGTCTTGGGCTGTGTGGCAGGGCTGTGCTCTGAGCTTTGGTGATGGGGCAGACCAGCCTCACCTTCCTCCTTCTCTTTGCTTCTGCAGTTCGTGAAGGAGCCGGTTCAGTACAAATACAAGGCACCAAGCCCTGAGCTCTGTAAACGGGTGAGATCTGTCAGGTCAGTGCAGCAATGGCTTCCTATCGCTGTCCCTTGCTCCCCCCATGCAATGCTGGCATCCCAGCAGTGGGTCGCCAAACTCTGCCTTACCCCTTGTCACTGGACACATGGCGTGTCTCCAGCTGGGTCACTCCTCACTGTGGCCTCTCTGGTCTGGTTTTGCAGGATCTCGAAGGCGATGCTGTCCTGGGCATGCTGGATACTCATGGGCAAGGACATGGACTCAGATGTGGACTCCTGAACCCAGCCTGCCCTTCGTTTCTTCACTGATTCAGGGCTGCCTGGGACAAGCAGCTGGGAGAGGGTTTGAGGGGGACACCAGGATCCCCATCCCCAAGGGGCCTGCTGAGTGGGTTGGCCTGGCTGTAGAGATTCTGGGGATGTGACCTGTTGAAGGCCAGCACCCTCAGCACTGAGAGGGGATAAAAAGCATTCCATTTTTCCCTCTCCATCATTTCCAAACGCCTTGCCCTGGTGAGTGGGGACAAGAGGTGACCCAGTGCCACCGTAGCAGGGGCAGAGGTCCCACACCCTGATCCCCATTGCAAAGGCAGTGCAGGAGTTTGGATGTTTTATTGATCGATTTTTAGGTAGGGTCCTGCACTGTTCATTACAAAAAATATCCCGCAGGGTTATGCTGTAGAAGTTAAAAATAAAAATTGTATATTTTTTAAATACACAGCTCTTGTATTAAAAACAAAAAGAAAAAAAAAAAGCATCATCTTGCTGCTTTGTCGTAAACATCCGTGTACAGAATGCGCTTGGTCCGGGAGCAGAGGGCAACACAGGAGAAAGCCGCTTGGGTGTTGGGGTGATGCCAGTGCTGTCGGGAGAGCTGGGGGGATGGCACAGCTGGAGCTTGACTGCAGAGCTGGGTGCTGAAACGCAATGGGCCCCAGTCCTGAAGATGGAAGCCTGCATCTTGAGGGGCTGGAGAGAGCGGTACCCCCGGGGTGAGGAGCTGGAGAGGTTGGAGGGCCCTGGTAACGCTTGCTAAAAACAGCAGACTGCCACGGCCTGCCCAACTCCTGCCCAAAATCAGCTCCCCCCACAGAGACCATCATGGGAAGGCGATGCTGCTCAGCACATCCCAAGGGCTCCAGCACGGTCCCTGGGCCTGCCTGCTCTCCTGGGTGATGCTGGTGGCCTGGCCGTCCCCACAGTGAGAGGTGAGCGGTGCCATCGGTAGCCAGCCCCACGGCCGCATCCACGCCAGCCCAGTACGGAGCAGACTTGTGCCCCGGAGCTGCCAATCACCCCGGCACCATGCGCTTGCTTGCAGGGTTTTATTGGGAACAGTGCGGCAGCATGCAGGGGCTTCACTGTCCCAGGGCTGGCTCCCCCTGGCCCGGCACCGGACGTCTTTGGTCTATGGCTGCTGAGTCTTGTGCATTCGTAACAGTTTGTGCCGGGGCTCGGGGCTGCTCGCCTTCGGTGCCCGCTCCAGCCTGCAGCTTCTCCAGCCTGGGAGGGGGGCAGTCCTGTGGTGTGGGACCTAGAGGGGTGATGGGTGCTGGTGTGAACATGGGGAGGGATCCCCTAATACCCCCAACACCCACTTGAGCAGGGGGTCCAAGGGATTGGGGAGCGTCGCATCTCACCTGCGGCATCCGAGGAGGGTCTGGGCTTATCCTCTGGTTCCGGGAGGGAGTCGTGCTTGGTTCTGCGCTTGAACACAGGCGACCGCCGCAGGCGCAGGGGAATGGTGGCGGCTGGGGGAAAACACAAGCCAGCCCTGCATTACGGTGGGTGCAGCTGCTGCAGCCCATCCCAATACCAAGAGCCCCTCAGGATCTTCTCAGTGTAGGGATGGGAATCGCTGCATCCATCACCCCAGCACTGTGGGTGGCCACCAGCCAAGAGACAACACTACCATGTGTGTGAATGCCACCATGTCACCACTTGCTTCCTCTGGCATAGGGTGCAAGGGGGATTTGGGGTCCCACTCCAGCTCCCACTTACTTCCCAGCTCTGCCGGGCACTCAGGCTCCCTGAGCTGCTCCTCATGGACGGACACAGCTCGGCGGCCGGTCCCCCGCGGTGCCGCCAACCGCGGCGTCAGCCAGTTGTCTGGAAAAGCAGTGAGGAGGTGATGATGTGGGGGGACCCACGCACCTCCAACCTTCTGGTAGACCCTCATCAGTACCCAGCGCTGAGTGCTTGGGTCCCTGCTGCCCCCTGTTCCCAAAAGGCTCTGGGAACACAGATGGAGGACCCCGTTGGCTGCTTGCTCATCCCTACCTTCAGTATCAGGAGGCGTGGGC